AGCTTCCTAGACTGCCTGAACACACTGTGGTAGGCGGTGTCTGTGGCTCTGCAAAGGAAGAATTCTAAATTCAAGTTTAGAGCTCAAGCCTATCACCTCACTCAGCCCTGAAATAGCTTTCATGGTTTCAATCCTCAGGCGCTGTCTTGAGTGTGTTCTGACCACTTTACCTGACCATCACAGCCTGGTAGCTGCTCTGCTGCTGTAACAAAGTACCTGAGAAGACACGTGAAGGGAGGAAGGATTGATTTTGAATTATCGGTTCAGTCCATAGCCACGTAGGCTCATGGTGAGGAAGTACATCATGGCAGGAAGTGATGGAGGAACAAGCGAGCAGGAAGGGTCTGGAGATAATATTCCCTTCACAGGCATGCCTTCAATGACCACCTTCTCCTACCACGCCCATTCCTAGTTCATACCTCCCAATAATGCCATCAAATTAGGAGTCCAATCCGTAGATAAGATCAGAGCCCTTATCCCTCACAGTCAGTTGATCATGAGCAATGTCTGTCTGTCTGTGGACATTGGAGACCCGGCCTGCGGCACGTGAGCCTTCAGGGAACATCTTACATGCAAACCACTACAGTGACTTACAAATACCACACTAGGAAGTCCGAAGTCCGGGTTTCAACATGTGGATTTGGGGAGAGACAAACATTCAGTTTGTGGACACTGCCCTTTTGCCCATCCTTGTGTCCTGTCAGCAGCACTTTGGGCCCTCGTCTATGTGGAGGGGAGACTCGGGTGTCCTGTTAGTTTATATGTGCAGCTCCTGGGAGGCTTATTAATAATGACTTATTAATCTTTGCCTGAGCGTTCTGTGATGTTTCTTCGTGAGTCCTCAGCCACACCCTGGTCTGCAGATTCATTGTGTGGCCTGACCCGTTCATCCATTCATCCATTCCCGTTATTTATATTACTTTGCTGTCAGATGCTAGGCTGAGTGTTGGCAAAACAGTAGGAGCAAACCTGTGAAGCCCCCTGTGTCCGAAGTGCCCGCGGTGTCTGGTAAGGGGGAAACAGTGTGCACTCCTGCCAAGGACACAGACGCCAGCTTGGGAGCCCCCAACGCAGGACATTGGCAGAGCTGTTTGAAGATGGCTGCCCCAGTGTGGTTAATGGAGCCAACTGGGTTGTTGGGCATCCAGGGAGGTGTTTCTAAACTGAGTCCTGAAGTATGTGGAGAAATCAGGGCAAGGGACTTTCCCCTGGGAGCTTTTCCCCAGAGGTTGGGTGCCACTGAGAGAAACGCTGCCCTAACTTGTTTCTCTTGCCAAGCCTGGGGGGGGGGGGGGGGTTGGGCCCAGCCTGGGCAGGGGCTGTGGGTCAGGTCAGCAATGGCAGCTCCCTGCACCAGAGGGCAGTGTTGGTCCTGAGATAGTCACTGCCACCATAGAGGCTGGACAGAGCAGCCACCTAGCATTGCCCTGGCCTCTCCCTGCCAATCCCCTCTAGGCCTTTGGCACCCCTCTCTTCCTCCCTACTCCGGGTCTCCCCCACTTGTCAAAACAGAAATTGTGAGTCCCAGGGGGCACCAACAGCTCAGGCCACCCTTGCCCCTATCTGTAGCCTTTGAGTGAAGGGACCATGTGATGGCTGATGCCCGGCAGCCCTGGCTGCATCTCTGCTGCTGAGGCCAAGAGACCAGGCAGCTGGAGCCCCAGCTGGCGCCTTCATGCTGGGTCTCTCTGCTTTGGTATTTTCTCTTCTGGCTCCTGTATCTGTCACCTGCATTGTACCTTGTGCCTTTCCCACCGTTCTCACTACCCAGCAATCTCAGCCTCAGTCTGTCCTCTCCTGGGCGCTTTGATAAGCGGCTGTTGCAACCTGAAAGCAGGCGCGTCCTCCTTTCATCCGTCCCTGCTGGCTGCCAGCCCCGGGGCCCCCAGTGGACACGTTTAGGACAACGCAGAGCAGCCTGGGGAAAGCAGCCCCATCCATCAGAAGCCACTGCCACCGGGGCAGAGTCCTCTGCCAACACTCTTTCTGGTTCACCCACATTTGCTGGCAGGGGTCCAGGCTCCCTGGGAGGGCAGAGCAGGCCAGGTGCAGGTGGTAGAGGCTGATAGAAAGGAGACAGGACCTTGCTGGTTAATTTGGAGATTCCTGGGGCCTGTTTCCGAGCCCTGCCTCCTCCTCGTCATTGGCTACTCCCTGGCGCATCTCTGAGGTAGCAGAGGCGCTTAGGTCTGCTGGCCTCTCTCACAGAGCCAGGGGCGGGCCCTTGCCCTCCTATGAGTGACCTTCAGCTGTCCTCTGAAACTTCAGAAGATGCCATGTAAAGACAGAGATCTTTAGGACCTGAGCAATGCAGACCCTAGAAGGAATACCACTTGGCCTATCACTTGGCCACAGCAGCCATTAGGGGAGCCCTGCCCCGACACCCAGCCAGACTGCTCCATTGGAAGCAGGTTCTTCTCCCCACAGTGGCCATATTGTCTGGACCCAAACTGGCCTGACACAAAAATGTGCGCTGCTACTCGGCACAAGGGGTAACCTAAGAGCTAGTTTAAGGTTGAAGTAGCCCTGTTACCACAACATGGGTGGTTTGGGGAGCAATTGGCTTATCTGGGACACATGACTTCGGCATTACTGGCCAGCTCCCAGGAGGGCAGCACAGAACTCCTGCTACAGGGATTTTTGTTTTGTTTTAACATCAGAAGTACTTCTCTAGTTCTGATAGTCCTGGCTCCAGGTACTTGTCTCACACACATAGAACTTAGCCATCTTCTGCAGGGAAGCTATCAACGCTGGGCTCCTCCTTGGCTGGTGATCTTGAGTGTGTTCCTTAATCACACAGCGCCTGCTTCCAGATGTGTACAAGGGAATGATGGGTTGGTGAGGTTTACATGTGGGCTATCCCCTGAATATAGCAGTGAACCCCTTAAAGAGTAGAGGTCTCTCTGGGTTCACTGTTCAGCATCGGGTCCCCACCAGCTGGGGCAGAGCCGAGCCAGTGGGCAGAGCCCGGCCACTGCTGTGCCCTGTAGCACACGTGGTGGCACAGCAGGCCAGGGCGATGACGTCAAGACCTTTGTCCTGCCGCATCTCACAGTGTTGTGGGCACTGTCCCAACGCCATGATTTCCACTCCTGTCTGGAAGGGAGACGGCGAGTTCATGGATCCAGTGTCAGGGGGAAAACTGAAACCAGAAGAGAGGAGGAAGCTCTGTGAGCTGTCCTGGGAGGCGGCGGCGGAGAGGCCCGTGTGCCAGACGCTCCTGCTTCACTGTGGCTCGTCCTGGCGTGCAGGGAGTTATTTACCTGTCCCCGGGTGACAGCCATCGCTGTCTGGTTTCCCTGTGTCTAATGCACAACCGGAGGCTAAGAATGGGGTCTGTCAGTCGGCATTTGCAGAAAATAGCAAACAGACCTCGCTAGGCTATCAGCACTCTGGAGAGAGGAAAGCGGGGTGAAGGCTTTGGGGAAGTGGCCATGGCTCTTCTCATGTCATTTCTCCATGCTGTGGTCAGAAAAGGAGTTTTGCTTGTCACCATATCACCATAGCATGCAAGGTAGCATGGTATCCCCGAGCCTACTGCTGGGCCTAGCCTTCCTGGGGAGGAGAGCCCCTGCCTCTGGTTACAGCCTCCCTTCTGGAAGGACTGGAGCGCAACACAGGGAGCAGCAAGGTTTCAGGACCAGCGGACACAACTGAGTTCCAGGGCTCAACAGGTGAAGCCCTCAGAAGCTTTAAGGCACATTCTCAGCCAAACTGTCAATCATCATGACTTCCTGATAACCATCTACCACCAGCACCCCAAGGCCGAGCACAGGGAGGGCCCGCGGAATGCTGGCCCCTGCCCCACACCTGTTGTGTGCCTTGTGTGATGTGGAAGCACCTGGAACAGTTCTGGCCTGAGGGCCATATCTGTGACCACCTCCTAAGAAGGTGAGGAAAGAGGCTGGACACACCAGGATGCTAGAGGTTGGCCTTGGACAAGCTGGGGACAGGGCTCCCCTTGAATGCCACAGGTTCCAAGGGGGCCTCAGGGGGCCTGGAGCCTTGTTGTCAACCCTCTCCCACCTAAACATGCTTCTCTCCTGGGGGTCTCCCTGGGGGGGGGGGCTCTAACCTGTGGTGTTTCCTATCTACCACCAGTGTCTGAAAAGGCCTCTCCTTCAGCTTCCAGGCATGGGTGAGGTTTTGAAACAGCAGGATCTGCCTATTCAGCTCCTACCTCCCAACCATTGGAGACCCCCAGATGAGCCACTCCACCAGCACCTGCTTCCAGACCAGGCTGTATACAGCTTTCCTACGGAAGGGTTTCTCTAACTGAACTTGATTTTGGAAAGGCCTTGGCTTTGAGTCTAGGAAGGCAGTGAGATTCAACAAAGGAAAAGCCAGGTTAAGCCATTTGCTAAAAAAAGGTGCAGATGTTCTCCACATAAGATAGTGTTTTTCTTTATCTTTGTGTCTGCAAGGCCTTGTTCTGTTTTCCTGCTCCTGTGCTGAGCCAGACAACCTTCAGCAGGGCTGCTGGGGCAGGGACAGGGCTCCTCCTGGTCAGGACAGTCGCCTTTGAATCCTGCAAGCCCAGTAACGGCTCCATGACCAGGGACCGGGGTACCATACTGCCTTGCTTGCTGCTGCTGCTACTACGGACAACAAAACTGCTTTTCTGCCCACAGAGAGGGAGCTGGGCTTACTAGACACTTGGAGCTGCATGGGGATAGGGAAGAGACAGGGTGGTGGCCAAAGCCAGGGGGAGAGTGAATACACACTGGCCAATCCCATCACACGCAGTATTCCCTCCTGAGCGGCCTCCTTGGCCTGCTCTACCTGCAAGCTGACATTTGTGTGCCTTTGACTTCAAATGGCAGTATGTCCTAAATTCATCACCGAAGCCAGCTTGCAGCCTCAGGCTGCCTTCCTGGAGTCTTGCCCATGCCTGAGGTTCCAGGGGGGCAGGTTCCGGGCTCTGGCTTACCTCCTCCCTGCAGACCCCCCCCTTCCCTCCCAGGTAGCCAGCGGCCCATCACATCCTCCGGAGGTATTGCCCCTTCCCTTGATTTCAGCCTTGGCTACCGCCCAGGCCTCCAGCAGTTGGTGCCGGAGACCTTTGTATTCTGGGGCCAGTGACCTCTGAGCAGTGGCCTGTGGTGGGTTCTCTGCCACGTCCTCTTGTGTGCTGGGAGCCAGGAGCAGGGTGACTACTCCAAGTCAGCGCCACTGTCCACGCCTGCTCCAGCCCTGAGGTAGGTTTGTGCATGTGGAAGGAGGGCTCAGTGCCTGGGTCTGGCGCTGGCTCTGAGTGGGTCCTACCCTACGAACTGCCCCGCGTGTGGAGCCCGGCAGGCTCCGTGCCACCAGCGCACAGCAGAAGGCTGGGGCGGAGGGCGTGGGGGACCCCCGAGGACTTTGTGGGTGGGGCAGCGAGGCAGCTGGAGTGCTGGTGAGGGGCATGCAGGGCTGTGGGGAGGCTGGAGGAGTCCTTCTCCATCTCCGCATTCATCTGGGAGGAGGAAGGGGCAGGGAGAACGAGACGGAGGCTGGCACTCCTGACCCGGTCATACGCACTGCCTCGGTCAATTCCCAGAGTGACCTGTCTAGATGGGGGGGGTGGTACCTGAGTTTTGAGACGGGCATGACCTCAGGCGTGCTACGTCGTGGAGCAGGCAAAAGGAGAGCTGGGCTCAGCACAGAACAGCCAGCCGTGGGCTTGTGTCCTGCCCCTGCCTGTGGGGCCCCTGTGGGCTTCTCTGTGCTCTGACTCATCTGAAGGGCCGTCACTTTCCTGACGAGAAACATCTGCCAGGCCAGCTCCCGGCCAGCGCCTGCACCTGGGAGCGCACGTCTCAAATCCAGGCCTGCTTTGGTGGTGCTCTGCAGGAACACAGGGAGGGAGGAGGGGCGTCCTACACCCCCACAGCCCTGGTTCCTAGTGAAGTGTGACTGCCAGTCCAGTCCGGGAGAGGCTTGGTGTTGGGGAGCCAGCTCCGCCTTCCGGGGCTCCTCAGGCGACACCACTACCATCGCGCTCACGGGATCCTCTTCCCTTATCTGGGGATGGAAGAGGACAGCGGGTGTGCGAGAAAGGACAACAAAAATGTCCTACTCACCCATCGGATGAATGCCCAAATGCCTATACGCGCAAACCCACCTGGTGGGGAAAGACAGACAGACTGGAAATGGCTTGAGAGTTCTCTGGTGGGGGTGGGGGTGGGGGTGTGAGGGCCTTGGTGTCCGTGGGCTGTCCACAGGGGCGAGGCTGCTCACCTGCACACGGGACAGACTGTGGGTGCAGCACCGCTGGCGTCCTGGGCAAGAGCAGCCTCATCGTTCCATGTTCCTCGCCTTCATGTCCGGTGAGGGGAAGCTTCCAACGTTGACCATTTTTGTTGGGTTTGTTGCAAATAGGGCTCACTCTTGACTTCAAGAATGAGCTTGGGAGCCGGGCACCAGTGGCTCACACCTGTAATCCCAGCTACTCAGGAGGCTGAGATCTGAGGATCATGGTTCAAAGGCAGCTCCGGCAGGAAAGCCCATGAGACTCTTATCTCCAATAAACCGCTCAGAAAACCGGAAGTGGTGCTGTGGCTCAAGTGGTAGAGTGCTAGCCTTGAACTGAAGAGCTGAGGGACAGTGCCCAGGCCCAGAGGACCTCAGGACCGACCAAAAATAAATAAATAATGAGCTCATCCAATGCAGCCCCCGTGGCCCTCACCAGAGTGCCCTGGAAGCCCAGGACAGCTCTGCTAAAAGCAGAGCTCAGGATCAGGAGGTTGTACGGATCTATGAGTGGGAGATGACAGATGCCCATATCTGCATTCGCCACCCTGAGCAGCCATCAGGGCCACTGTCGCCTTCCTCCCTGAGTCCCAGCCCCTAGCTGGGCCACTCCTGCGAAGGGGTGTTGGGCCATGTGGCCCCAAAGCCTAGTCTAGAATCGGCCACAGGTTTGAGTTGCCCTTGTGATTTTGAAGTGATTCCAATCCTGACATAAAGTTGCAAAATCTACCCCTTTCGGAACTCCCCAAGCACTAGTAACGAAGCAAGTACTTCATTATTCTCAGATTTTCTCCAGAACATTTGCATGCAAATTGCAGTTGTGATGCTTCCAAGCCCCCAAATACTTCAGCGTTTTCTCCCAAGAATGAGGATGCACAGTCCAGTGAGCAAGATCAGAAATAAACATGGATACGGCACTGTTTAATCTACAGCTCTTATTTGAACTTTGTCAGTCTTCCCTCAGTGCCCCTGGCTGCAAGTCCAGGGTCCGGTCCCGCTCACTCGTGCATTTTGTTGTTGTCTCTTCGGCTTCCTTTCATCAGAAATCATTTCCAAGTCTCTGTCTCTCATGACCTTTGACATGTTTGAGGAGTGCAAGCCGGTTTTTCAGTGGGGTTTCCCTTAGTTTGGGTTTGTTGAGGCAGGAACCCACAGGAAGACTCGGCGGCTCTCTCAGGAGGGGTAGCACGTCAGTTTGGTGCTGGTGATGTGAACTGTTCTCTCTTGGTCCATGAAGTGTCTTCCTGGTTTTTCCATGCCCTCTTCACAGTGGTCTCCTATCTACAGTTTCACTTTCCTCAGTTTTAGTTACTTATGGCCAGTTTCTGTTCAAAATTATAAGACAGAAAATTCCAGAATTAGAACTTGTGGCTCCTACCCATAATCCTACCCATAATCCTACTGAGGAGGCCGAGATCTGAGCATCAAGGTTCAAAGCCAACCTGGGCAGAAAAGTCTTCAGAGACTTTTATCTCTAATTAACCAGCATAAAGCTGGAAGTGGAGGTGTGGCTCAAATGGTAGAGTGCCAATCAGGAGCACAAAGGCTGTGAGAGGCCAGGCGCCAGGGGCTCATGCCTGTAATCCTTGCTACTCAGGAGGCTGAGATCTGAGGATCGCGGTTCAAAGCCAGCCAGGGCAGGAAAGTCTGTGAGACTCTAATCTCCAATAAACTACCAGAAAACTGCAAGTGGCACTGTGGCTCAAGTGGTAGAGTGCTAGCCTTGAGCTGAATAGCTGAGGGATAGCGCCCAGGCACAGAGTTCAAGTCCCACAACAACAACAACAAACTGTGTGAGAGCTTGGGGCCTGGTGTTCAAGCCCAAATATGAGTACCCACCTTACCCCACACCTCCCCACCAAAAAAGGTGCTCTTTCTTTTCCTTTATTTTCCTCTTTCCATATTATAGGCCATCATATGACACAGGGCTTCTGTAATGTTTGTTTATTTACTGAGTTTGTTTTTATACTTCTAAAACTGAAATGGCTGCGTCAAGCATTTTAAAATTTTACCAGAAGTGAGTCACGTGGTTAGATAAAAGCCAGGGAACAAGGTAGAGGCTGCCATGGAATAGAGAGGCTGGACAGACCTCTCTGATCTGAGCAACTGTTTTCATACTAGACTGGGCCTGGTTATTCTTCATTTATAAAATGAGGATGTAAATTGCCTCATTTAAAATTTTAAATTGTATAACGCACCTGACAGGAAATTTACCGTCTTATGCTCTCTCTCCTCTCTCCCTCCCCTCTTTCTCTCTTCTCTCTCCTGTCTCCCATCCCTCTTCCTCCCCCCACCCCCACCCCATGCCAGTACTGGGACTTGAACTCAGGGCGTTGGCTCGCTCCCTTACCTTTCTTGCTCAAAGCTGACTTTCCACCACTTGAGCCTCAGCTCTACTTCTGGCTTTTTGGTGGTTAATTGGAGATAAGAATTTTACAGACTTTCCTGCCTGGCTGGCTTCAAACTGTGATCTTCAGATCTCAGCCTCCTGATTAGCGAGGACTATAGGTGTGAAGCCACCAGCTCTTGGTCCATCTTACTATTTTTTTTTTTTTGTCAGTTATGGGGCTTGAACTCTGGGCCTGGGCGCTGTCCCTGCACTCTTCAGCTCAAGGCGAGCGTTCTACTGCTTGAGCCACAGTGCCACTTCCGGTTTTCTAGTGGTTTATTGGAAATAAGAGTCTCACGGATGTTCCTGCCCGGGCTGGCTTTGAACCGCGATCCTCAGATCTCAGCCTCCTGAGTAGCTAGGATGACAGACAAGAGTCACCGGTGCCCAACCATCTTACTATTTTTAAGTGCATAGTTCAATGGCATTTTGTACCTCCACATTGTTGTACAACCATAGCCGCCGCCGTCTGTCTACAGAACTCTTTCATCTTGTGAAACTGAAACTCCATCCCCATTAAATACTAATCCCCCAGTCCCTGTCCCCAGCCCTGCCCCCCACCACTCTTTCATGAGTTTGACCACTCTATGGGCCTCTTTTAAGTGGAATCTTACAGCATTTGTTTTTCTGGGTACAGCCTGTTGCACTTGCCATCAGTCAATGTCATTAATCATTAATTTAGTAGTCATCATAGAAAGAAGGATACGTATGGCTACACGAAAAAACCTACATGCGTACAGCACAGGCTTCCTCCTGGGAGAGCAGGCTGGTGAGGATCAGCACTTGGCATGGTCTAGATTGTCACCTGGCCTGGCCAGCAGGACCTGAGGTGGCGTGCAGGCTGGGTGTTGGCCCAGGAGATTGTCCCGCTGGGGCCTGGGCTGTGTGCCCAGGCCAACACTGAGGAGAGGCTCTCCTTCCCCCTCCAGCACTGGGGTTTGAATTCAAAAGCTTGAATCAGGCTTGTATTCAGGCTTGCTAGGAAAGTGTGCTAACTGCCACCTGAACCATGCTCCTAATCATTGCTTTAGTTATTTTTTACTTCTTTTCCTCTCTCTTTCTCTCTCTCTCTTTCTCTCTCTCCCCCCCTCCTCTCTCATCTCTCTCTCACTTTTTTTTTCAGTTGCTAGGGTTTGAACTCAGGGTCTCATACTTGTTCAGCTTGCTCAGATGGTATTCTATCACTCGAGCCATGCTTCCAGCCTGTGCTTTAGTTGTTTTCAGCTAGGTTCTCTCATTTTGCCTGGGTCCTGCTACTTAGGTCTCCAGAGCTGCATAGCTGGGATCACAGGTGTGCACCACAAGTCCTGGTTTATTTATTGAGAATGCTTCTCACTTTTTACTTGGACTGGTTTAGAACTGTGATCCTCCTGATCTCTGACTCTGGAGAGCCACTCGCCCTCTTTTTCTCTTCTTAAGACTTCTTTCCTGTCTGTTTCCATGCTATCTTTATTTCCTCTGCTGCTTCATCTTGTCGGCTGTCTCTTGGTGCCCTCTAAGCATCTCTTATGAGCTTGTAGTGCCATGTGTTAACCACTGCGGTATGAACTAGAACGTGAGAGTGAGTGGGAATTTGAATTTGCTTCTTCTGTAGAGCTTGGCCATAAATGGAAGAGAGAGCTGGCACTGACTTCTGCATGTAAGTTTGTTTGACCTCGGTGCCGAAGCGGCTCTAATCAGGGCTCTGCTTGCCCTCTGCAGATGCTGAAGTTCCGGACCGTCCGAGGGGGCCTGCGGCTCCTGGGTATCCGCCGGAGTTCCACTGCCCCCTCTCCAAATGTGGGGCACCTGGAGTACAAGCCCATCAAGAAAGTCATGGTGGCCAACCGAGGTGAGTGCTCCCACGGCCAGCCCCGCCTTGGCCTCCTCCTCACCCTTGCCTCTACCTCTCCCGCCTGTTTCTCTCCTCACTTCTTGCCCCATTGCCCCCAGGCGAGATTGCCATCCGCGTGTTCCGGGCCTGCACGGAGCTGGGGATCCGCACCGTGGCCATCTACTCCGAGCAGGACACAGGCCAGATGCACCGGCAGAAAGCCGACGAAGCCTACCTCATTGGCCGTGGACTTGCACCTGTGCAGGCCTACCTGCACATCCCAGACATCATCAAAGTGGCCAAGGTGAGCTTGGCCTGGCCTGCGTCCAAGCAGCCCTGAGTGCCCAGGGCTCTCCCTAGGCTGGAGCCACGTCTTGTGCTGTGCCTGGCACCCAGGCCAGCCAGCAATAAGTCAGGGGAGGGAGAGGTGCCCAGAAAGGAATGGGAAGAGGTCAGAGAGGCCGCTAGACCTCAAGGAGACTAAGGGCGACTGCCTCCCTGACCCTCCGCAGGAGAACGGGGTGGATGCCGTGCACCCTGGCTATGGGTTCCTCTCCGAGCGCGCAGACTTCGCCCAGGCCTGCCATGATGCTGGGGTCCGGTTCATCGGGCCGAGCCCAGAAGTGGTTCGTAAGATGGGAGACAAGGTGGAGGCCCGGGCCATCGCCATCGCTGCAGGTGAAGCAGAGCTCCTCACGAGGAGGTTGACGGGGAGGGGCTGTTTGGTTGGGAGCCAGCCTGTTACAGTGTCCTGCACCTGTCCCCACAGGTGTCCCCGTGGTCCCCGGCACTGACGCCCCCATCACTTCCCTGCACGAGGCCCACGAGTTCTCCAACACCTATGGCTTCCCCATCATCTTCAAGGCTGCCTATGGGGGCGGGGGCCGCGGCATGAGGGTCGTGCACAGCTACGAGGTGAGCACAGGCGCTGACGCCAGTGGCCGAGCGGGGGCACACAGCCCCGGTGGCCCCACAGCATTCTGGGAAGTGGTCAGGGGTCTTGGCAGAAGGCACACAGCCAGGGCCTCACATCTGCCTGGCCTTGCCCTCCCTCGCAGGAGCTGGAGGAGAATTACACGCGCGCCTACTCCGAGGCGCTGGCGGCGTTCGGCAACGGCGCACTGTTTGTGGAGAAGTTCATCGAGAAGCCGCGGCACATCGAGGTGCAGATCTTGGGTGAGTGGGGAGCATGCACACTCCTCCGCCCGGACCGCCTCACCGGGCGGCACACGCCCATTTCTTTCTGCTTTATAGCTGCTGCTTTGGGATAGTTCAAGGCCTCAGGGTTGCGCAGGAATGCCTCCAGAAATGGAGTTCTGAAATCAGATGGCTGTTGGTTTTTACCACTTAATGACCACCCCAGCTGCCTGGCCCCAGTGTCCACACGGGGCTGTTGGAGGTGTGTAAAGTCCACACAAAAGGCTGAGCCCCATTTCCCACCTGCTCCAGGGGACCAGTATGGGAACATCCTGCACCTGTATGAGCGGGACTGCTCCATCCAGCGGCGGCACCAGAAGGTGGTGGAGATCGCCCCTGCCGCACACCTGGACCCGCAGCTCCGCACGCGCCTCACCAGCGACTCGGTCAAGCTTGCGAAGCAGGTGAGGGAGGTGGAGACAGGCCCAAGCCGCCGCCTCCCCCCCCCACCCCCAGGGTCCTCACAGCCAGTGCTACTAGCGCCCCAGTGGGCAGCTGACAGGGAGCAGGGAGACCCAGGCTGCCCAGTTCAGAGCTGAAATGAAATGCTGGGCTCTGCTGGCAGAGGAGCCTGGATGAGGCCACACAGAAGAGAAGGAAGGAAGGGAGGAAAGAAGAAAGACAGGGAGAGAGGGAAGAAGAAGGAAGGAGGGAGGGAGGGAGGGAGGGAGGGAGGGAGGAAGGAAAGAAGGAAGGAAGGGAGGGAGGGAGGGAGGAAGGAAGGAAGGAAGGAAGGAAGGAAGGAAGGAAGGAAGGAAGGAAGAGAGGAAGGAAGGAAGGAAGGAAGGAAGAGAGGAAGGAAGGAAGGGAGGGAAGGAGGGAGGGAGGGAGGGAGGGAGGGAGGGAGGGAAAGGAGCCCCAGCCACCCCATCTGCCCCTGTTGTGCAGACCAGGCTTCGTTGTGGCACCAGCTCACCCCGGATAAAGGGAATGAGATTCCTTGGACTCAGAATGAAGGCACTCCTTCCTTGCTGGCTCTTTCCTCTCTTGCATCACAGTCGTCCCCACCCATTTCCTCGCTGAGATTCCCTTCCACTCCCCAGGGTCTGGGCTGTTGAGCTCTGGGTATGGAGGTGGCAGGAGGGGAGCCATCCTCCCCCACAGTTCCAGTCCCCATGGGCTTCAGCGCTGTCTACTTCCGACCTCCAGGCTAGCCTGGACCCACAGAGTTGGGGTTTGGGCTGCCCCAGGAGTCGCCTGACCTTGACTTTGCTCTGGTTTGCTGTCCATTGACCACCCCTCTACAGAGTGGAGGGGCCTGATTTAAGTCTGGTTTGTAGTTCTGGAAGGAGCAGAAGACTGGAATTAGGGTGGCAGTCTGAGGTTCGTCTGACATCTCTTGTGCTGACGGAGTAGTGGAGGAGGGACTTCCTGAAGACCTACCTCTCCCCTAGAGAAGCAGGGTCTCCAGGACCCTGCTCTGATTGGCTGGAAGAGCCTGGGTGGTGAGGCAGTGGCGCTCTTGGGGACAAAGTATCAGCGCTGGGTGGGCTGGACCTGAGGTCAGTCACCCCGAGGTGCTTCCCTGGCAGCTCTGGTGCTGTCTTGAGCCCCTTGGGGTCCTGGGTGGTGGCGGTCGGGGCTGGGCTGGCAGCCACTTGTCTGTTGGGCAGAGTTGCCACAGACTCTTCTGTTCGGGAGCCATCTCAGTAGGTGGCTTTATTATGCACGGTTCGCATGGAACACCGGCTTCTGCCCCCCTCACAGGTGGGCTACGAGAACGCGGGCACCGTGGAGTTCCTGGTGGACAAGTACGGCAAGCACTACTTCATCGAGGTCAACTCCCGCCTGCAGGTGGAGCACACGGTCACGGAGGAGATCACCGAGTAAGCCTGGGGAGAAAGGCCCTGGTGTTGCGGGGGTGGTCCCGGGGGTCCTGACAGCGGGCAGGGGCCAGAGCTCCCTGTCCGCTGGCCCTCCACTTAGGTAGAGAACACGGAGGGGCCTAATGACTTCATTAAAAAGATAGTATATAGGTATTGCATGGCAATCATAAAAATCAACAGAGGGGCAAACAAAAACAATTCAGAGTCGGGTGCCAGTGGCTCACGCCTGTTATCCTAGCCACTCAGGAGGCTGAGATCTGAGGATCGCAGTTCAAAGCCAGCCCAGGCAGGAAAGTCCATGAGACTCTTATCGCCAAAAAACCACCAGAAAACCGGAAGTGGCGCGGTGGTTCAAGTGGTAGAGTGCTCGCCTTGAGCTGAAGAGCTGAGGGATAGCGCCCAGGCCCAGAGTTCAGCCCCACAACCGACAGAAAAAAAATTCAAAACCCACCTGTTAGGGTCAGGATGCCAATGCCAGCTGGGGTTCCATGGAGCCCTAAGGCTGTACTGTGAGAAAGGAGCCTATCACCCCTGAGGAAGCCAAGGCTCAGAAAGGTTAAGAGGGTTACCCAAGGGCACATAGTGAAAACTGGAAAGCCAGTCTCTCTGGTTCTACCTTCAGCTGTGCTGTATTCCCTGCGCCGGCTCAGCCTTTAGGTGTATTTCTTTCCATTTTTAGGTTGACTATATAAATATTTGGATGCAACTGAGATTTTTTTTTGTATAGAATTTTTATTCCATTTGAAAAATGCTATTTGAAGGCATTCTCCAGTACTTACTCTAAGTACTTTTTTTTTTTTTTGTCAGTCGTAGGGCCTGAACTCTGGGTCTGGGCGCTGTCCCTCAGCTCTTCAGCTCAAGGCTAGCGCTCTACCATTTGAGCTACAGCACCACTTCCAGCTTTTTCTGCTTATGTGGTGCTGAGGAATTGAACCCAGGGCCTCATGCATGCAAGGCAAGCACTCTACCACTGAGCCACCTTCCCAGCTCGCTAAGTATTTTTAATGGCTGTATACTCTTCCACCATTTATATGTGTTATAACTCAGTCACCCCATTTCTCATCAGGCAACTAGGTTGTTCTGGCTTTTGTGGTTCAGGCGTGTGTGTTACCGTTTGTGTACTGGATCTGTGCTATGATCCGGAGAGTCCTGAAGAGAGGCACGGTCAGCGGAATTACCTGATCAAAGCAGAGGCAGTGTCTTGCCTCAGAGCTTTCTAGATGATTGTACGCTACATTTCTTCTCACACCAGCTTTGAGTTCAGACCTTTAAAAGTCTGCCTGGTCTCTAAGCAATTGAAATGGCTTTCATTGTTTCAAGATTTTGAGCCATTTAAGCATTAAACCTTGGCTTTGGGCCAGCCTACCTCCCTCACGGTGGAGCATTCTTGATTCCAGTTCCTCCTAAACCCTTGGCCTCACCGACCAGAGATGAGGCCGCTGCCTGTGCCCAGCAGGTACCCAGAAGCCCCCACTCCTCACTTCAGGGTTAGGGTGAGAAGGAAAGTGTGTACATCAGCTGGATGCTGGGCCCGGGAGTCTTTCCTAGGGGGTCAGGGACGGAAGGCTTTGCTGGCTCTGGAGCAAGGGCTTCGTGTCTCATGGTCGGTGGTCAAGTTCCTCCTGGGGCTGAGCCATGTGGAGCCATGGGTGAGCTGCAGCCTCTCTGACCCCCGAGTGCCGCCTCCTCTGGGCATTGTTGTGAACTGTGTGGTCCACAGCGCATGGGGGAGGTGGCAGACAGGTCCGCCCTGGGTGGTGGCAGGTGACACGGAACATCTGGGAAAATCTGCCAGCACACAGCGTACCACAGCATCACTGATGATCAGCCTAAGACCTTGAGGGCCCTTTTCCGCAGCTGCTCCACTTGGGTTTGGCAGTCAGGCTGAGCTTATAAAACCCTGTGGAAAGCCTTGAACTCTGAAATTTCCCCTGCTGGAGTCAAGGACACACACGGGGGCGGGGGAGGGGGGCAGAGTGCCAGTCCCAGCAAGACACCATCCTGACCGTACCCAGGGAGCAGCCTCCCGCTGCCGTGGTTTCTATTCCGTAGACTGCACCCCTACGCTGTCCCTAGAGAAGCTGTGACCTAGAGTTCCGCAGAGCCCAGGCTGCACCCTGCAGGCTCTGGGGAAGATGGGCTTGCCCACCCAAGGGTGCGAGGGTGGGTGGCATCAGCAGGAGGGTGAGGAGCAGGAGGATCTGGGGTCCCTGGCCCTTGCTGCCAGGTTCTGCAGTGTAGATGGAGCCTCTCCAAGAGCCTCAGGGACAGTAGGCCTCGGAGCCTCGGTGGGAGAAGCCACCATTGGTGGGAGGAGTCTGTGGGCTACACCGCTGGGGTGAGGCCCTCCCTGTGCTCCGCCTCACCCCCCCCCCCCCCGCTTTCTCTGCCTGCAGCGTGGATCTGGTCCACGCTCAGATCCACGTGGCTGAGGGCAGGAGCCTGCCTGACCTGGGGCTGCGGCAGGAGAACATCCGCATCAATGGCTGTGCCATCCAGTGTCGGGTGACCACAGAGGACCCTGCGCGCGGCTTCCAGCCCGACACCGGCCGTATTGAGGTAGGCCGTGCTCTACCCGGGGGTGATGCCAGGCTAGTGGGGGATTCTCTCTGCCACCCCAGGGTGGCCAGGGCTGCCAGCACCAAGTCATGCCAGTCCCTGGGCAGCGGTTGCTGGCGGAGGGCCTAGGCCTCAGGCCTGCGGGGCAGCACTGCCTGGAGAGGTGCCCCAGGGCAGTCAGGAGAAACGTGACACTGACTGGGACACAGGGAGGCCCAGCACAGCCCAAAGGAGAAAGCATTCTTGGATCAGAGGCTGGCCTGCGCAAGGCCAAGAGGGAACCAGAAGAAAGTCACCTAAACGGACAGGACAACCTGGAGAAGCAAAGGCTGGGTCCTCAGACATGAAGCCTGGCATGGCGCTTAGGGAACCTACAGCCTCACTATGACTGCTCCGTTGGGGAGCAGGCAAGGCAGGGCCCCGGGGTTGGAGGTAGGGAAGCCCAGCACTGGAGTCTCTGTGGAGCCCAGCGAGCACCCGTCTCCATCCCCAGCCTCAACTACACCCATCATGGGGCCCAGAGCCGGCCTCCTGCTTGTCCCCGCAGCCCTGTGGAGAATGAGGGAGTGGCTGCAGTGATGAGAGCCAGATGGACTTGGGCTGCAGCTTCCTGTCCCGCGGCCCTGCCTGTCCCCCCCCCACCCCAGCCTCTGACCCCAGCCTGTTCTTTGGCCCTCTGTGTCCTGAGTGTTGGCAGTGCTGCACCAGCCCTTCTGCCCAGCTCCTGCCTGCTGGCCTGGGCCGCAAGGACGCAGCCCATCCCAGGGGCTCAGGACTGGTTCCTTGAGTCCAGGATGGAAGGCCTGGCCTGGGCCCGGGCCAGAGCTGCAGGTACAAGTAAGAGGCTCATTCTGGACTTCAGAGGCCGTGGAGTTGAGGCTGGGGGTGGGGTCTGAGAGCCGTGCATGCCATCTGCATTTGTTTCTAGAAGGATCAGAGATGATAAGCGGGAGCAGCTCCAGGCTGGAGCCGCCCCATGGCCCCACTCCTCTACCCTCAGCCAGAGGGAGCAGCCCAAGGGCTGGGCTCAGCTGCCAGCTGCGGCCTCTCCAGCTCCAGCTCCAGCTCCAGCTCCAGCCCACCTCCACAGTCGGCTGCTCCAAGCTGCTCACCACAGAGTATTTTTAGCTGGCAGTTCCTGCTCACAGCTGAGTGTCCACCCTTAAATATTTTATTAAGTTCCTCTCTCTCAAGCACAGGCCTGGGCCCCTCAGCGGCAGAAGGTGTGCCTGGGGTGTCCCGAGCCCCTCTCCTTCCTCCCCCCTTCCTCAGGCACCTGATGGTCCCCCCCCCCTGCCTGGCATGGCCCACCTGTGAGAGTCTGTCCCCAGACACTCCAAGCCTCCGTCTCCCCTTCTCTCCATCTACTGTGCGTGCGTGCATGCGCGCGCGCGCGCGCGTGTGTGTGTGTGTGTGTGTGTGTGTGTGTGTGTGTGTGTGTGTGTGATTTCTGCTCCACCTCTGTGTGCTTCAAGGCAGGCCATGTGATCTGGGTGTACACCTGTCTCCGCTCATGTCAGAGACAGAGCAGTTGTCTTTATTCTCAGTGTTCCCAGCTCCTCGTTGCCCTCCAGGCTGGAGGGGAACCTGAGTGGATATTTGAGGCCTTCTCCATTACCCTATACATTAAAACAAAAACAAACAGCCAAGTGTTGTGGCACAACCTATCATGCTAGCATTTGAGAGGTTGAGGGGGAGGATCGTGAGTTTGCGGCCAGTCTGGACAATATAGCATGCCCATGTCTCCAAACAAAAACAAAAAAGGCCAGGTGCTGGTGACTCATGCCTGTAATCCTAGCTACTCAAGAGGCTGGCATCTGACAATTACAGCAAAGCCATCCCAGGCAAACACATCTGGGATACTATCTCCAATTAACCAGCAAAAAGCTGAAAGTGGAGGTGGAGCTCAGGTGATACAGTAAGAGTGTGCAGCCCTAAGTTCAAGCCCAAATCACACACACACACACACACACACACACACACACACACACACACACACACACACACACACACACACACGCACCGTGGCTCAGGCCTACAATTCTGACACGTGGAGTAGAGAGGATTGTGGTTTGAGATTAGCCTGGGCAAAAATTTAGGGGAACTCTATCTCATAAAACAAAATCCGGGTGTAATCCCAGCTACAGAGGTGACAATGGTAGGAGGGTGACAGTCCAAGGACGGCCCAAGGCAAAGCATGAGACCCTCTCCATCCAAAAAATGCAAGCGAAAGGGGCTGGGGCCTCAAACGGCAGACTACCCAGTGCTGCCCCCAAACCTCAGCATTCTCCTTTCCCCGCCGGTTTCCTGCAGTGTCCCCTTGTCAGTCCAGTTATTTCCATGTCTGTCCCGGAGCCCCGAGCAAACAGTGTTTGCGCTTTAGCTGCTGCTCCACAGCTGGGCATTCCAGGCAGCTCCTGAAACAAGTGAATGCCCATGTGTCGGCATCAGCAAGAAGGAAGGGTTGGTCAGCCTGGCTGGAGAGGTGGGTGGGACTCACCGTTTGCCACTGAGGTCAACTTGGAGCTGAGCTAACAGTGCCTGCAGCCCCAGCGAGCCCCTCCCTGGGGCTCCACCCACCCCCCACCCCTGCTCTGAAGTCACAGGCAGCAGTGACTGGCAAGGGACCGTGGATTTGCTGATAGATGTAGAGCAGAACTCAACAACAGAGTTGGGGTTCCCTGCAGTGACCCTTGAGCCCAGTTCTTAGCACCTAGCGGACCCCCGCGGAGGGCCACACCTTGGCTGCAGCTGTGACCCAGCTGCTGACCCAGCGTCATCTGCACAGGTGTTCCGCAGCGGAGAGGGCATGGGCATCCGGCTGGACAACGCCTCTGCCTTCCAAGGGGCCGTCATCTCCCCCCACTATGACTCCCTGCTGGTCAAAGTCATCGCCCATGGCAAAGACCACCCCACAGCCGCCACCAAGATGAGCAGAGCCCTGGCGGAGTTCCGGGTCCGAGGTGTGAAGGTGAGAGATGGCCGGTGCCCGCGGGCGATCACATGCTTGCCCAGGGGCTGGTGTGGCTCCTACTGCTCCCCCCTGGCCAGTGGCTTGCCTCCCCTTGGGCTCAGCCTCAATGGCTCCTTCTAGACTCTGCGGGTGCTGCAAGCACCTAGCACCAGTTGGTCAGGACTCGGTATCCTTGAGCGCTGCTGCTACTGCCGCTCAGATGCCCGCATGCCCACCCAGGACCTCTGGTCTGGAGCTTGTGCTAGGGCACCCATGCCATTCCTCATTCCTCTTGGTTCAAAGCCACCTGTGGTGTGCAGGCCTGCTTCTAGAAACTGACCTCACAGATTTAAGTATAGGCCCCAGAGCTAATTTTCAACAAGCTCCCCCAGGAAATTCTTAATCTTAAGAAAAAGTATGTTCCCTGACCAAGAGCTCCAGCCCTGGGTTCAGATCCTCTCTCTGCCCCCCCCCCCCCCAGCTCCCCATCCATGCAGCCAGCCTGGCATTTGCAGAGGGGCGGGTGCTCCAGGGGCAGCAAGGAGCCTGGCTGCGGGGGGGGGGGGGGGGCAGTGCTCCGAGGGGGTCCCTGCCTGTGGTGAGGGTCCAGAGTGCTTCTCGTCTCCTTGATGGGCTCTGTTCGTTCCCAGTGTCTAGCTAGAGATGAATGCACAGCCAAGAAATACTGTCCTTTAAAGCCAGCACCTGCCCACGGATCTCATAGGCCCTGTCTCACAGGGGCTCCTCCCTCCTGCTTTCCCGGGGCCTCTCGCTGGACGCTCTGCCTGCAGCACAGGCGCCCTGGCCTCTCTGCCCTCTGTCCGGTCTGTTCCAGGCCTGCCTGCTGTCGAGCTGGCTGGTGGGGCTGACTGCAGTGCGTCCCCGCAGTGCCCTGACCTGGCCTTCCCTGTCTGTTTTGCTAACATCCGGGTCCCTGTTTCCCACTCTGTTCCTGCCCTGCTGCCTCCTCGCCACCCTGTCCACCACTCCCGCCTGCTCCTCACTGTCAGCGCCTTGTTTCCACTTTTTATATGGCATCTCTCTTGGTCCTGTTCAGATGTGCCTGCCACAGGGCAGCAGGCAGGTACTTGAGAGCTCAGCCTGCACAGAGAACACCCCCCCCCCCCCCAGGACTGCCCGTCAGCCCTGCCCGCACGTGGCAGCACCAGTGTGTCCATGCAACACACCAGCGGTGGCCTGCTCCCGCCAACCGCATTTCTACTAAGCATCTGGGTGCTTAGAGCTGTGTCTAAGGGCTCGTACACCAAAGGAAGGCTGATCGGAGGGCTGGAGGGGCTTGGGACCCCGCAGAGGAAGCAGAGTAGGAGGCCCTGACCTGCTTGGAGCTCCAGAGGAAGACTAGAAAGGGAGGAGTACCCACCCCGCTGCGGCCTGCAGAGGTGTGTCCAGGCCAACTTTCCAGAAAAGCCCAGGGCGAAGCCACAGGCGCCTTGGAGGGGCAGGGAGGGGCAGGGAGGGGCATCTCACTTGGGTCTGGGGAACAACAGGATCTTCTGGAGGGTGAGTGTGTGCCCAGCCTTCCTAGGCCTTTCGGATGGCATTCTGCAAGTCCTCTGGCGCTCCCGCCACAGTGGACAGGACCGTCCCCACGGGAGCCGCGCTCAGGACACAGCTCCCACCAGGTCCCTTGGCCCAGAAAGCCGCGCCGTCTCGGGACTCACTCTCCAGAGTGAGGCCTTGCTGCCATTCCTCAGGGCCATGACGCTCTGAGCGCTGCCAGGGGCCGTGCTGGTGCCAGCTCCGCGCGCCTGGGCATCACAGGAGAGCACGGGGCCTGTGCACACCTACCGGGAAGGCGTGGCCTCGGCGCTCCCACGCAAGGCCGACCAAGCCCAGACGGCGCAGTCCAAGGCCGCAGCTACTCTAGGGTCAGTAGTGCTCACCCCAGCATTGTCCCTTGCCCCGGGCTGTACCCCCAGGAAGGCTGCTAGGGACTGCCGGTGCCAGCCTTGAGTCTGTGCTGGTCTATGTGTCCTACCAACCCCTCCCGGAGGACCCCAGAAACCAGCGTGGAGGGGGTGTCCCCAACAATTTTATTATAAATAGAAATGAGACTCCCACTTGGTGGCCGCAGCCTCTGCCTTGGTGGCTCTGAGCACCTGTCGGAGGGACCTGTCCCTGTCCCCCAGTCTGGAGGCCAGAACTGAGGAAAGGGCTTGCTGTCCCACCAAGAACACGGGGAGCCTGAGGTACCGAGGATAAAAACCAGGAGGGGAGCAGGGCGGAGCGCCGCCCTCACCTTCGGCCAGCACAGGACGCCACTCGCTCCTCAGGGCAGCGGGGACGCTGTTCCCATCACACCACGCTCTCCTCCAGCCGCTCTGCGCTGCCCCCGAGGCCCCGACACCCCGCCCCCAGCAGCCCCCCATGTACAGAGTGGCTCCGCCGCGCCCAGGCGCCCCCCAGACGCCTGGCGTACCCGTAGCAGCCGCCGCTGTCCCCCAGGTCCAGAGAGCAGCTGCGCTGGGGCCGGGGCGGGGGGCTGCGCGGCGGGTGCGTCTTGGGCGTGGGGCTGGGGCCCCCGTTGGTCTGGGACTGGACGTGGCTCAGCTTGAGTGGGAGGCGGCCGTTCCCAGCTCCCCGGCCCCGAACCAGCAAGGCCACAGTGAAGACCAGTAAGGCAGCCACCAGCACCCCGCCCACAGCCACAGTGAGCGTCCCGCCCAGCACGTGGGCCTGCAGGGCGTGGCACAGGGGTGTGGCGGGCAGTGTGGAGAAGTGGGCGCAGCCCAGCAACCTGGTGGCCGTGAGGTCCGAGGGCCCGGCAGCCGGCGACAGGGCCAGCAGGCAGAGGTCGTAGTCAGCATCCGGTACCAGGTGCTTGAGCAGGAAGTGGTGACTGGAGGCTGGGACGATCCTGAAGACAAGGGCAGGGGTCAGAGCGGAAGGGCGGGGTAGCGCATCCCCTCCCCACCGCAGGGCCTGCGCCTGCGGGGCTCCCGCGGGAAGGCAGAGCACCCAAGCCCGGGGCTGGTGTGAGCAGAGGCTGCTGGGGCGGGAGGGGGCATGCGCACAGCCACCTGTGACCGTGAGCAGAGCCGCCCGCCTCCACCTCCCCCTGCAGCGCGGACACCTGGGCAAGTGCCCAGCCACACTCCTTAGAGCGCAGACACGGAGGGGGTGAGCCCAAGGACAGGAGGGCAAAGGCCGGGAGGGGGTACGAGCAGGACTTGGGGGCAGGGAGGGCGGCTGGGGGCCACCAGGCAAGAGGGGGTGCAAAGGGCCCATCCTCACCGGTAGATGAGGGTCTCATCTTCACTGCTGTTGTACTGGATTTGGAACATCCACACGGGGTCCGCGGGCCGCCCCGGGCCCCAGCTCACAAGCCCCGAGGTGGCGGTCACCTCTGTCACTTGCACTACAGGCTCCGTCTCCAGAGCCCCCTCGCCCTCGGCAGCAGTTCGAGCAGAGGCAGCGATGTCCGAGGGCCCGGGGCGGCCGCCCTCCGCGCTGCTGTTCCCGCCATGGGGCAGGGCCAGCACCCGGAGCTCCACTTGGGCGGTGGCCTCCCCAGCAGGGTTGGTGGCAATGCAGGTGTAGCCTCCTGCGTCCCCGGCGCTCGTCACCCCGATCTCCAGGGTCCCGTTGGGGAAAGCCCAGGCGCGGGAGGAGTTGCCAACCAGCCGGTCGTCAGGGCCAACCCAGTGCATGGTGGGAGCCGGGTCCCCGAGCGCGCGGCATCGCAGCGTGGCCCGCTGGCCCTCGAGCACCCACAGGCGCTGCGTGTGGCGGGCGATGAGCGGCGGCTCGCAGGAGAACTCGCCCTCGGGCACCGCCCAGAAGTAGCGGCCGGCCAGGCTGGGCGGGGAGGCGCAGGTCTCCAGGTCGTCGGGCCGCGCCAGGCGCCGCAGCCACAGCAGCTCGCAGTTGCAGTGCAGCGGATTCCCGCTGAAGCTCAGCACCAGCGGGGCGGGGGAAGCCTCAGCTTCACGTCCGCGCGAGAAGAGCGGGTCTGGGGCCAGTGTGGCCAGGCGGTTAGACGTGAGGTCCAGGCGGGAGAGCTGACCCAGCTGGGCAAAGGCGCCGGGCGGCAGCGCGTCGATGAGGTTGTGGTCCAGGTTGAGGGTGTGCAGGGCAGGCATGGCGCCGATGCCGGCCCAGGGCACCTGCCGGAGGTTGTTGTAGGACAGGTCCAGGTCCTCGAGGCTGTCGAGGAAGTCATCGAAGGCCCCCGGCGCGATGCGGCCCAGCTGGTTACCACTGAGGATGAGGTGCTGCAGGTTGACAGGGCCCCGCAGGCTGCCGCTGCCCAGCTCCACCAGCCGGTTGCCGTCCAGGTGCAGGGAGCGCAGGCTCTCCAGGTCGCCAAAGGCGCGGGCCCCAATGCGGGTGATGGCATTGCGGGACAGCGTCAGGTCCACCAGCCCGGTCATGTTGCGGAAGTCAGGAGGCCCCAGGGCCTGGATGAAGTTGTCGGCCAGACGCAGCTCCACCGTGCGCCGGTCCACGTTGGGTGGCACAAACAGCAGGCCTCGGTGGGCGCAGAGGGTGCTGAGCGACTCCGACAGGTTCTGGCAGACGCAGGGCAGCGGGCAGGCGGCCGCTCCGCCGGCCAGCAGCAGCAGCAGGAGCGGAGGGGCCATGGTGGGCGCCCTGCGGGGAAGGGCCGCAGCCCGGGCACAGGTGGGGCCGGCGCAGGTGCCCACTTGTGCCCAGCACAGCCCCAGGAGCCAGTGTCCACAGCCTGGCCTGAGGAATGGTGGGTTCAGAGGCTCGAGGAGGACCCAGGGAGGAAGGCAGGCCGGGGCTGAGGGCCAGGCGGCCCCCCAGAGTTAAGGTCACATTTCCCAGGCAGTTCGGGGGCGGTCCAGACACTGGGCACAAGGTGAGGCGGCGGCAGGCAGGAAGCGGAGGTGGGCCCGGCGCAGGGAGGGTCCCGGAACTTCCTCTGCCTGGCGTCCCCGGGAGGCGCTAGCCCCCTCCCCCCTCCGCGCCATCGCCGCCCCGGCCGCGGAAGGCGCCCCTCCCCCCGCCCGCCATCCCTCCCCGCGTGGACCGCGGCCCCTCCCGGGCAGCCCCGCGCGGGCCCCCGCGGCTCCCTCACCTGGTGTCGGTCGCTCAGGGGGCTCGGGCCGGCCTCCCCGCGGGCCCAGCCGGCCCCCGCCGGCTCCGGGGCGCTGTGTGGCGGCGGGGGCGAGGCCTGGGCCGCCTGCCGTGCGCCCTCCGGCCCATGGCGCTCGGGCCCCGCGGCCCTGGCTTTCCGGGTTCCCGGCACCTTTTCCTCCCGCGCGGTTCGCGGTGGCGGCAGCGGCCGCGACAGGCAGGCGGGCGCGCGCCGACGGGCACGCGCGCCGCGGACACGCACGTGGAGGGCGGCGGGGAGGGGCGCGCGGGGATCCACCCGGGCCCGGGGCAGCTCCTGAGGTCACGGGGACACGCGGGCCACTGCGGTGCCCACGGGTGGCGCCCAGTCACGCCCGAGGCCCCGGCCGGCGCGGGCCCAGCGCGCGGCCCCCCGCAGCCGCCGCAGCGCACTCACCCCGGCCCCGGCGCGCGCGCCCCCGGCCGCCCGGGCGCCCCGGCATCCTGCGCCGCTCTGCCCGCCGCGGCTCTGCAGACAGCCAGACAAAGCGCCGGCCCGCGGGCCCCGCCAGCATCTCCCGGAGACGGGCCTTTGTCACATGTCGCCGGGCGCCCTCCCCAACACGCCCACATGTGCCCGCACACCCACACGGCCCCGCACCCACGGGCAGGGCCGGGCGCACACCCGCGCCGCCGCCGGGACCCCCGCGTTTACAGACACACGCTGAAGGTCACCACCGTTCTGCATCGCCGAGTCACGTGCAGGGTCCCCACGGCGCGGGGTCCCGTGGGGGCTGGGGCGGCGCCCCCGGCCGGGCTGCTGCGGGGTGGGGCCGGGAGGGCTCGGCCTGGGACCCGCGGCCGCGCCCCGCCCCGCCGCCCCCCCTCCCCGCCTCCCCGAGGTCCCCGCCCGCCCCGCTGGCCGGGCGCTGGGCGCTGGGAGCCAACCGGCCTCCGGCCCGATTGGTCGGCGCCCGCCGCTTCCCGGCAGGCCGGTGGCGGCACGCGCCCAGCCGTGCGTCCGTGGTCCCGGCCGCCGCGGCCACGCCCGCCCCGCCCCGTCCCCGTCCCCGCGCGGGTGGGAAGCGCCGGGGGCCGGGGCCGGGGCGGCGCCGCTGCCACGCGTCGCCCACCCAGTTGGGAAACATGGGGAATAGCATCTCCCACGGCCTCGTTATCCGTGGGCTACCTGGGGCCCCCCGCCTTCCGTCCTCCCTCCAGGCCTGATTCTTGGGGGGCAGGAAAGGGACTGGTGGCCAGGGAAACCCGACGCGGGATTCTGGCCCTGCTGGCCCGGCTGTGCGCCTTCGGGCAAGTTACTGAAGCGCCGCAACCATTTTCTCCTGTGGACGGGGGGGGGGTGGGGGGGGGGCTGGCGGTGGTCGCAGGTGCTCCCGCTCAGGGGAGAGGAGCCCGCGGCCCCCCGCAGATGAAGCCGGGGCCGATTTGTAGTGAGAGGGTTGAATCCTAGTCCGATCGGCGCTGAGGTGCGGTGAACACGGTTAGGAGTTTCTGCTGGGAGCCGGTGAGCTGCTTCCTGCCCAGAGCGCCCCGGGCAGAGGCCACCGGGGCCAGGCCAACAGCCACGAGAAAGGATCGAGAGGGATAATGGGAGCAAAGAGTCAGCCGGCCTCGGAACTCTTCCCTTCCTGCAGTTCTGGGCTCCCTACCTGGCTTGACTGATTGTTTCCCTTCTCCAGGGGCGTGTTCGTGTCTAGGTGAAATATCTGTTTCTTTAGGGAAGGGGTGCTAGGCTTAGGGTAGGTAGAAGGGAGGGCTGGGCCCAATCTGTGGGAGGCTGGTAGAGAATGCACCCTTCCTGGGCCAGGTTTCCAGGTGATAGGCGCCCCCAGGCTCAAGGGGGTGCCTGCTGGGCCTCGAGTTCCTATTAAGGGTTCCAACAGCACCGTGGCTGGGTTACGCCGGGAGGTGTGTCCATGTTGCCGCCCTTAGAGTCGGAGCCGTGTGGCGTCTCCATCTGGGCTCTGGCACAGTGCTGCCCCAGGCCCCCATGCGCGCTCTCACCCTGCCAATCCCGGAGCACACTGAGGCCCAGCACCCTGCCTCTGGCGGTCTCAGCGGGAGGTGGGGGGAGGCAGACAAACCACACACGATGAGGACACAGGATGGACCTGCTAGGAAGGGGACCACTGAGCTAGCCCTACCTTGGCAGGCAGGGCAGAGGCGCGGCGGCCTGGCTAAGGGTGGCTCCGATGCTGCTGCCCATGAAGATGCCCATGGCCAGTGTCACAGAAGGCGGGCAGTGAGGCTTTGGAGTGTAGATTTTGGTCACTTGGTAGATGGCGAAGCGCCCACTGGCCGACGGGAGCTGGACTTGCTGAGCTCACGTGAGAAAGAACAAGGCCATTCTGGTCCTCCAGATGTTTCTAGACCCTAGAAGAAGCAAGAAGGGAGTGGCATTCAGCACATACTCGGGTGAACCAGGATAGCGAACCCGTACCCAGCCTCTGGCAGCTTAGGGGACTGCCAGAACAGGGGTGGGGGGTTGGGGGTGAGGGAAGTCGGGGAGCACCTGCAGCCCCTTCCGTCCTCCCTCCCCCACCCCTGCTGTGTGGTAACACCGTCCTACCTGCTCTGTCTCGCAGACCAACATCCCCTTCCTGCAGAACGTGCTCAACAACCAGCAGTTCCTCGCGGGCACTGTGGACACCCAGTTCATCGACGAGAATCCTGAGCTGTTCCAGCTGCGGCCTGCACAGAACCGGGCCCAGAAGCTGCTACACTACCTGGGTCCGCCCACATCCCCTTCTCTCCCCCCCCACCCCCAACACTGGCTTCTGCTCCCAACCCTCAGCCCTGCCCTCCTTCTGGTCCTGCAGACCCCTTGCTCCTGATCTAGAGCCCCTCTTTTCCATCCACATGGCCCTCAGTAGGTCTCTACTGCTTGGACCCAGGAGGCCCCTTTGGAGTGGACTGGGGCAGCTGGAGGACCAGGTGTTCTGGAAGAATGTCCCTCTCCCTGAGCCCACCTACCCACACTGCGGCCCTCACCTCTGCCTCTGCCCAGCCTGCCCTGACCCACTGCTGGCTCTCTCCCCAGGACACGTGATGGTGAACGGCCCCGCCACGCCGATTCCTGTCAAGGCCAGCCCCAGCCCCACGGACCCTGTGGTCCCAGCAGTGCCCATAGGTAGGTGATGCCCATTCTTCCAACTCAAGGGGCAGAAGGGGCAGCAGATGGCCGCCTACAGGAGGCACATCAATGGCCTTGTCTCTCCCAGGCCCACCCCCAGCGGGCTTCAGAGACATCCTTCTGCGAGAGGGGCCTGAGGGCTTTGCTCGAGCCGTGCGGGGCCACCAGGGGCTGCTGCTCATGGACACCACCTTCAGGGATGCCCACCAGTCCCTGCTGGCCACTCGTGTGCGCACCCACGACCTCAAGAAAATCGCACCCTATGTCGCCCACAGCTTCAACAAGCTCTTCAGCATAGAGAACTGGGGAGGTAGGCTAGAGGAGGGGGGTCGCTGGGCAGCAGGATCAGGTACCCACTGGCCAGCCCCCAAAGCCCAGGCCGCTGGGAACTCAGAGAAGCTGGTGATGGGAGTGAGAACCATTAGGGCCGGGTGCTCGCTTGTTCCACGGACACCAGCTAGGAGCAGCTCAACCAGGCCTGGTGTTGGGCCTGAGGCCGCAGCGCTGAGCCTCGGCCACTGCCCTGAGCAGCTGTGGGGGCAGTAGGAGATGTGGCCTGTTGCTTGATCACCACGGGTTCATCACCGCACAGAGAAGCAGGGAGGACCTGTGGGCTCTAAAGGTAGCACAGGGAGAGCACAGGTGAGCCAGAGCCGCCCTGAGCGTCAGCACTGGAAAGTCAGCGGGGTTTGGTGTTGAGGTTATAAGGATCCTTGGAAATGAGCAGGGGCCGGAGGCTCAGGCCGCAGGAGTGCAGGGCAGAGTGGTGCCAGGGCAAATACGGGATGCGTGACCCGTGACCCAGCCCCTCCACCCCTGTGCAGGAGCCACGTTCGACGTTGCCATGCGCTTCCTGTACGAGTGTCCCTGGCGGCGTCTGCAGGAGCTCCGGGAGCTCATCCCCAACATCCCGTTCCAGATGCTGCTCCGGGGGGCCAATGCGGTGGGCTACACCAACTACCCTGACAATGTGGTCTTCAAGTGAGCAGACGCGGCGTCCGGGGCCCAGTGGGCACCAGGCCACCCACAGTGGCTCAGCACCAAGTCAGCAGAGCCACCCCATGCAGGGCATGCTGGATGGCAGAACCAAAGGGTCCTAGCTCTATCTCTGTGGGCAGTGGCTGAGCTCTGAGGGGAGGGTGTGGTAGGCTTCCGGTGCAGGGGCGGGTGTGGAGCGCAGGCCTCGGGACTCCTCCGTGCTTTCCTTCATGCTACTCACGTGCAGAGTTTGGGCTGATTCCCTGGTCAGGGCCGGCAGGTGGCTATGTGGCAGGTGACCAGTGCAGGGGCCAGCTCTGCCCAGTGCCTCTGAGGCGGCCTTGCCTGGCCCAGGACACCCACACCCTTGTGCCCCACGCTCCCTGGCTGGGCCAGGAGGAGCGCGTGGGGCTCACCCCTGCCTTCTTACCTGCTCAGGTTCTGCGAGGTGGCCAAAGAGAATGGCATGGATGTCTTCCGGGTCTTTGACTCCCTCAACTACTTGCCTAACATGCTGCTGGGCATGGAGGCAGCGGGCAGCGCTGGGGGCGTGGTGGAAGCCGCCATCTCATACACGGGTGATGTGGCCGACCCCAGCCGCACCAAATACACGCTGCAGTACTACATGGGCTTGGCCGAGGAGCTGGTGCGAGCCGGCACCCACATCCTGTGCATCAAGGTGCCCGTCGCTTCCCACTCGGCCCTGGCCCTGGCCCCCACCGCAGGCATGTGTCAGGCCCATTTTACCATCTTCCTCCTCCCCACTTTCCCTAGGACATGGCGGGGCTGCTAAAGCCAGCGGCCTGCACCATGCTGGTCGGGTCCCTGCGGGACCGCTTTCCTGACCTCCCGCTGCACATCCACACCCATGACACGTCGGGGGCAGGTGTGGCAGCCATGCTGGCCTGCGCCCAGGCTGGGGCTGATGTGGTAGACGTGGCAGCTGACTCCATGTCCGGGATGACATCACAGCCCAGCATGGGAGCCTTGGTGGCCTGTGCCAAAGGGACTTCCCTGGATACAGGTAGGAAGCCCGCAGCCATGCCCTTCAAAAGCTGCAAACCACTGCCAGTGCCAGCACCGGCACACGTGGAATCCAGATGCCTTGCATGGGTCCGGGGAGGGGCTCAGGAGCCTCCTGACACCTGTCTGTCTGCAGAGGTGCCCCTGGAGCGCGTGTTCGACTACAGCGAGTACTGGGAAGGGGCCCGGGGGCTGTATGCAGCCTTTGACTGCACAGCCACCATGAAGTCCGGCAACTCAGACGTGTATGAGAATGAGATCCCAGGGGGCCAGTACACCAACCTCCACTTCCAGGCCCACAGCATGGGGCTTGGCTCCAAGTTCAAGGAGGTCAAGAAGGCTTACGTGGAGGCCAACCAGATGCTGGGTGACCTCATCAAGGTGAGGCCCCATGCTCCTACCTGGCACAGAACCCTGAGCATGCTTGCCTCCTGGCACCCTGACCTCCAGAGACCCTTCTCCTCAGGTGACACCTTCCTCCAAGATTGTGGGGGACCTGGCCCAGTTCATGGTGCAGAATGGGCTGAGCCGGGCAGAGGCCGAAGCTCAGGCAGAAGAGCTGTCCTTCCCCCGCTCAGTGGTGGAGTTTCTCCAGGGCTACATCGGGGTTCCCCACGGAGGGTTCCCTGAGCCCTTCCGCTCTAAGGTAGGCAAGGCCCAGTGAGGTGGCGGCCCAGGCTGCATGCAGGAGGCCGCTGATCCTCTACTTCGCTCCCCAGGTGCTGAAGGACCTGCCGAGGGTAGAGGGGCGGCCTGGGGCCTCCCTGCCCCCCCTGAACCTGCACACGCTGGAAAAGGAGCTGGTGGAGAAGCATGGGGAAGAGGTTACCCCGGAGGATGTGATCTCGGCAGCCATGTATCCGGATGTCTTTGCCCAGTTTAAGGACTTCACTGCCACCTTTGGCCCCTTAGATAGCCTCAACACCCGCCTCTTCCTGCAGGGCCCCAAGATTGCAGAGGAGTTCGAGGTCAGTGGTTTAGGAACTTCTCTCTACCTCCACAGCCCTGCCCCCCCTCCCCCCAGGCCGCAGTGCTCCTTCCCTTGATTTGGTCCTCACCTAGTCTTGTGAGCTCCAGGAGGACCCTTGGGAGACCAGGAGCTAGGCTCCCAGAGGAGAGGAGGCCAGGACAGAGGGCTTCTCTATGGAGAGGTCTGGGCCTGCTCCTTCCTGACTTGCTTCCAGCTTTAGTCCCCCATGTTCTTCCTGCAGGTGGAATTGGAACGGGGCAAGACACTGCACATCAAAGCCCTGGCCATAAGTGACCTCAACAGGGCAGGCCAGAGGCAGGTCTTCTTCGAACTCAATGGGCAACTGCGGTCCATCCTGGTCAAGGACACCCAAGCCATGAAGGTGCGGCTCCCCGGTGGCCAGCCAGGTGGTGGGGATGGGCCAGAGCCAGAATTTCATGTTCCCTCTGCTCTGTCTGCAGGAGATGCACTTCCACCCCAAGGCTCTGAAGGACGTGAAGGGCCAAATCGGGGCACCCATGCCTGGAAAGGTGATTGATATCAAGGTGGCAGCAGGAGACAAGGTAGCCAAGGGCCAGCCACTGTGTGTACTTAGCGCCATGAAGATGGAGACTGTGGTGACTTCGCCCGTGGAGGGCACGATCCGCAAGGTCCACGTGACCAAGGACATGACATTGGAAGGGGATGACCTCATCCTGGAGATTGAGTGATCCTCCCCAGACTGACAGCCTGGCCATCTCCACCCCAAGCCTTCAACAGAAGCTGCGCTGCTAGGGCAGGCCCAGGCCAGTGAGGACCTAAGGGCAGGAAGGCCTGGATCTGGAGGTCCTGTACTCCACGGGACAGCAGCCATTCCCTTCAGCCATTTGTCCTTTCCCCTGGCGGACAGACATTCACATTCTCATCTCTTGCCAAATAAGGGTCTTCTCATGAAGACTCCAAGTGGAAGAGGAGGAGGGCTCGGGCCCTTGGGAGGTTTGGGGGACCCGCCTCCTGTGGGGGTGGGGAAGACCTAAATTCAAGGTCTTGGAAACTTTGCTCAATAAAACTGGCTTTCCCCTGCCCTCCACACTGGGTCCTGTGCTGCCCCCAGCCCAAAGGCCCAGGGGGCAGGGCTGCCTCTTAATTCTTCATGGGCAAGTTATGTATGCATGTGTGCTAGTCCAGGGGCTTGAATTCAGGGCCTGGGCACTGTCCCTGAGCTGCTTTTGCTCAGGGCTAGCACTCTACCTCTTGAGCCACAGTTCCACTACCAGCTTTTTCTTAGTAGTTTATTGGAGGAAACAAGTCTCAGGGGCTTTCCTGCATGGGCTGGCTTTGAACCTCGATCTTTAGATCTCAGCTTCCTGAGTAGCTAGGATTACATATGTGAGCCACCTGTGCCCGGCTGTCAGCTGGCTTTTTAAATTCCTTCAAGGGTAGCATAGGTGACAAACACAGCTCTGGTTTTTGCTACTACCAAGGGCCCATTATACACACAGCCCAAACAGGACCATAGGCTAGCGACAGGCCAGTGCTTGGCACTTACCGGATGTATGAACTCGGTCAGGGAATCAGCTTTCACCCATCTTGACACCAAGTCACAGGAGGGTTAGGTGACTGCCCAAACCCCCACCCCTAGAGCAAGGCATGGGGAATCCAGGCTGTTGGCAAATTCTGCTTCCTAGCCACAGTGGTTTACTTCTATTTTTATATTTGTTTGGAGTCTTTGCTATGAAGCCCAAGCCAGCCTAGAACTCAGGATCCTCCTGCCTCAGCCTCCAGCATGCTGGTTTTCTTATAGAATGTCCCATTGTGCCCTGCTTGCATTCACTTTCTGTAACCTGGGCCCAACCTCCCACCTCTGGCTAGCTCAGGAGTAAATGCAAACAGGCTAAATTGGGCAGCAGGAAACGCTCAGGGGCAGCAACACGGCAGAGATGGCTTCTGGCACTAGATTTAAGGTTAGCACTAGATGAAGGGTCACCCCTGCCATCCCCACAAACCTGAGCAAGCCTCAGTCCCTCGCCTGCAGGGGGCAGGGACAGTAATCCTGGCTACAGTTTTCCTATACACTGCCATGGGTGAACGATGACCGGCAAAGGTGGGTAGAGTGGGTGGAAGGCCTGAGTCTTCTAACACACAGCTTCTACACAGTGGGGGAGAAGGGAGCCCCCCCAGGGAGGCCTGCTGGGTAGAGCTATGCCACCAGGGCCTAGTGATGCCAACGTGGGGGCGCCATCGCACATCCACTGTCCTCTCCTTACACACTACCTCAGAGTTGGCTTCTGGGATGTAGAATGGACCTTAAAGGGTGTTGTTTCAAGAATTTAAGAGCAATGAGAACCATCCTAAAAGAACACTACTAAAAAAGAGCCTCTACTCCGACGGTACTACTTTGCAGAGTCCTTGGGATGCTGCCGGTTCTGTTTTCCTCCAAGAAACTCCAGTAGCCCCAACTCCTTTCCCACTCTAGGCCGATTCCTTGTGTCTACAGAAGCCGGGAATTCCTGGGAAAGTCCTTCACCCTCCTGAGGACAGAGGCTCCATCGTCAGGTTCAGGCTACCCTGATCCTGGTATCCAAAGTACATGCCCCAAGATAATCTGAGCCTCTCTGGTCCCTAACAGTCTCAGACCCACCCGCTCTAGAACTTCAGGACGACTCAGAGGTTGAAGCCACGGCCTTAGCAGTCAAAGGCCCCACCCATTCCCTACTTTTGGAACTGCTTAGAGGTTAATGTTCAAGTTTAGCCAGGAAAGGCCGGGCACACACACAGTCCTGCTCCATGACCCCGAACAGGCAGATCACCAAAGTCCAAGTTTACCCAAGTTAAATCTCTTTAATATCCCAATACAAAGTCCCAATGCAAAAAGACAATGAGAAAACCCTGGGAAGTTCGGAGGAGGGGTTTTATAAATCACCCCCTCCCCAAGCAGCTTTTCAGAGGCAGAGGCTCAAAGAGAAGCAGAGGTCCAAAGTGAGGGCGACAGCGGCTCCTGGGATTTTCCCATCCTCTCACTCTGGGTTGCTCCTCAGCTCACTCACAAGAGGGGCTGCACCCTCTGACGATTTGCTCCTTCCTCATGGTCCCTGGAATTCCACTAGCTCTGGCTTCAATCCCCTACAAAAATTCCTGAGATCTCGGGGACCTCAGCCAGCTCCGCCCATGGTACCCCCTTGATGGGGAGGGGCTGGAGAGTCTGAGAGAGTTCACTGGAGTGTACGCAGGAGTGAAGGTCAGGAGCATAGAAGAGCCTCTGAGGCCCCTGCCCGCTCCAGAAGCACACAAAGGGGAAGGCTGCCATAGAGCTTGGGGTCCGTGAGGGGCTGGAGCAGAAGCAGAAAGAGTCCCACGCCCAGGGCATAGCCCGCCAGCAGGGGCCGCCTCTGTGGATGCTCCAGCGCTGCACACACAGCAGGGAAGCCCATGTAATTGCAGAAGGAGTGACAGAGGACTGGCCCAATCAGATGTCCTGAGGAGAGGAGAGAGCATTCATGGAGAAACCCCAACACCCCCTCTGGCTTTTCCAGGGCTGGAGACCCTCAGGACCTCCAAATAGGAGCTCAGCAACATACCACCCATACCCACCCATCCACCCACACATCTGTGGTCTCTGCTTCCTTCCACCTCTCAGACCTCTCCAAACTTAGGGTCATGGTTCGGCTTGACTCAGGTTGTGGTAGGGAAAAAAAAACCAGGATTGTCACTCAGAGCAAATAGCATTCCCACTCTCCCACCCATTCCTGAGCCCCTGACGACCCAGGAGAGACTGAAGACCAACCTGTTCTGATGAAGAGGAAAGCAGTGTAGGCACCGAAGACGGCTGTGTAGGAGAACTGGAACGCTGGAGACGGGGAGGCCACGAGTGACCACACCTGCACACGCACCCTACCCCAGCACTGCACACCCAGAAGCCATCCTTTCCCATAGGGCAGTGGCTGTCTGCCCTACCTACAGCTGCCCTCTGCACCCCAACTCCCCCTCCAATTCTCAATCCTCTATTTTGAGTCCTCCGCAGTGGCTGTAAGGGGCACCCACACGCACTCCAGCCCAGGACTGCCCCTGGCAAGCTCTCCAAGACTCACCTGCAGACAGGAAAATGCTTCCCACACTGCTCTGGCGGAAACGCAGCTGCTCAATAATGTGGTGAAAATGGGCTGGGAGGAAGGTGAGAGTCACATCATATCCCTCTAGGACCACCCCCATCTTAAGACCAATTTTCAGCCCTCATGCTGGACACATGTGAGCAGAGCCATGTTAGACTCACCGACTCCAAAGAAGAGCGGGCAGGTGAATACAGCAGGGCCCAGGCCTGTGCATGGTGCTAACATGGGCAGCATACAGGCCCGGAACACTAGCTCCTCTGTCAAGGGTGCAATCACTTGGTTTCGAAGCCATCGCATGTCTGTGAGGCAGCGAGCCCAGGAGCGAGGAGCTAAGGGAGCAGATTCAGGACAGTGAGGGACTAGCTACTCAACATTGAGACCCCAGAAACCCCTCTCCCACAAGTTTTCCCAGGCCAAATACAGGTTTGGCTGTAATACTCCTGAAAATGAGAGTGGGGAAGGGAACAGATTATTTATAGGACCAGGGTAGAAGACCATCTTGAGTGGATCGAAAAGGAAGCAGGATAGCCTGGTGGTAATCTCTGGGACGTCAACATTCAATAAGACCAGTCTGTTCCGGGAAAGCCAAAGGCTGGGGAAGCAGGGAATGAAGCTCTCTGGCCTGTGCTAAGTATTGAAGAGGTCTCAGGGGCTTCACTGAATAACTCTTAAGAGGCCGCCTGGTAACACAATTCCATCTGATAGAGAAACCCAGATATCGGTCCTGATCACACCTTGAGCCCGCTGACTCCTCCCCATTATTCTGGAGTATCTGTGCCTACATTTCACTCAACCTTGAAGACTCACTCAGGACAACCTTCAATCCATCCGTCAGATCACACGGACAATCCATAGAAAGCTGCATCAGTGGACCCAGGAAAAGGATCTAGGAGGAGGAAAACAGCAGATGCCAAAAAAAAGACTTTCATCATAGTCGATTGACTTTATTAAGATTTTGGTCCTTGATCATCCTCATGACTTCAGGTTTAATCCCAGGATTTCCTATTCTTGTGTACCGGACTGGCAAGCGGTGGCGGCAGGGGAGAGGGGGCAGGATCACAATTCCTGTCTCTTATCAGCCAAAAAGCTGGACATAAGAAATGACCACGAAGGATGCATCACGCTCATGATAAGAGTAGGAAAGAAAGCAGAACTCACCATGGTTAGTAGCAGGGGCAGCAGAGCTGCTGGAAAAATGCCCTCCAGCCTGAAGCCCATCAGGGTGAGCAGGGATGTGCCTGGCTGAGCCACAGGAAAGGGGGCATCAGTGTTGCTTCCTCCAGACAAAGATCCCCCCGAGGTCCCTCCCCCGTGGCTCCGCCCCACCTCCTTCGCACCTGGATGCCGGTGAGTTCCCTCCAGAGCAGCACGCAGAGGGGTGAGAGACTGGAGACCACCAGGACACTGGTGAAGCGCCGCTTAATGACGGCGGGGTGGTCCCTATGAAGAGGTGCAGTGAGTCCAGGGGATCGCAGCCGCCACCTGTCGCACGGCCCCGCCCCCAGCTCACCCCAGCTCTGCCCGCAGCCTCGCTCCGCGAGGACGCGGGATCAGGCCGCGCGCGCAGCCCCCGCACCTGGGCAGCTCGCTCTTCCAAACGTAGAGGCTGCCCACGTAGGAGCAGGCGAGGCTGAGGCAGGAGAACACGGAGACCCAGCAACACAGCCCGGGACCCGGACCGCCCAGCGCGGCGGACTCGGGCGGCCGTTCCGGCCGCGACACCGATAGTAGGCGCAGCCCATCCCCGCCCAGCGCCGCCATCGCGCCCGGACTCGCGGCGCGCACCAGTGACGCTGCGCCGCGGAAGCGCGGATGACGTCAGGCGGCGGCGCGAGACGCGGCCCCGCCCCCGCGGCCCCGCCCCCGCGGCCTCGAGCCCCGCCCCGCGGCCCCGGCCCCGCCCCCTAGAGCCCCGCCCCCGCGGCCTCGAGCCCCGCCCCCGCGGCCTCGAGCCCCGCCCCGCGCTGGAGCAGACGGCGGC